TTTTAGCGTTGAGGAGCGTTGAGGAGGTTGCGCTCCACGCGTTTCACACTGTGTTTGTTGTTGCGGCATTAAAAAGTCTGATTTTATGTGCGTCTGCGGATTTTTAAKGCATAAAGCTTTTCACTCTGCCCTTTTCGCACAAGAGAAATGATTTCTGATTTTTAGTTCCATTCTAGAAAAATGTTATTTAAATTTTCACACTAACAACAGTAAACATTMATACGCGTTAGCCGGGAACATAGCCACGGTGTGCATAAAACACAACTCAAATTTCCCATTCAATTACTCAGGCACAACTYTTTCTTATAACAGCATTGATTCTCCATCGAGATTACCATATAAGATCTCGGCTTCGTGACAACAACAATTTCTCTCTTATAATTATGTGCTTTTGTTCAAATTGTTTATTCGTTTGACTGCTGGTTCCGTTGTGAGAGCCAAACAAATACCACACTATTTTATTGCAGCGCTAACACTGAACTTGACAGCTCGGCGTTCACACTTTCCCATTACCTGAATTTATGGCGATTTATTCGAGTGCCCCTCGTGGAAAAGCACGGCGTTTGCCCAGATATCAGGTRAAATATAAAGCGCAGTATATTTCCAAAAACCTTCAGTTTAATTCCCAGATATGGCGGAGCTGTCCCATTTCTTGCTTGTTTGAGCTTCTTCGGGTTTGCAGTGATCGACCGCCATTAAGTCCTATAGAGGATTTCGTATTTTTCTCGCAGGGTATATTCAGTGGGAGTATAAAATGGTGCAATGATACATGTACATAGGTGTTATTCTACCCACAGATCAAAAATCAGCGCGTGRGGCGTCTAATGAGGAATCGACCATTTAAGCTGTTCGGAGAATTTCCAGCGAAATTCATAAAAACTCAAATTGAGAAAAAGAAAATTCGCAAATATTTACAAATAACCGTAATTTATGGTGATGTTTGTCCAACTTTTCTAGTTATCCTAACAACTGGGTTTGTCAGAGTTTATTGTCGACAACATTGCGGCGGTATCGGGAAATTCACTATTATTGCTCTTTGTTGTTGTTGATTTTGTGTAATTTGTTGTTGCACGTTTCGCTAAATTCCTCTGGTGGGGCGCTGCCTTCCAGCGAATGTTTCGAATTTTGTTTTTCGTTTTATGTTTGGGGTTCACTTTCGCTTTGAAAAACAAATTTGTTTTGCCCAAAATTGAAAACGACTTTGCTCAAAAAAGAAATAATGTTTTGCCAAAAGGAATGCCATCTCATTTCCTAAGAAGACTCGTTCGAAGCATTTAAATTGTGTGGCGTTGAATAAAACGTGCCCAGTTTGCGAATTTGCATTGGGGCGTAAAGAATTAGTTTTGGCGGGGTTGAAAGAAGAGAAAGACTAAATATTTGCGAACCGATTAGTATTCGATACTTTGAAGAAAATATAAAGATTGTAAAGTATTAAGTGAGTTAATAAGCAGTTGCAATGTGGTTTAAACTAGAACTGTCCCATTATGTTAGTTCTCCGGCAGATATAGTTTCAAAATCCTTCAAACATCATCTATACTGCTACATTGTGCCTGCGTCTTATTATACGCCTTTTATAACTGTATTTGAAGAGAAAGTGACGCATCAGAAATCGGTCGCTAGGTTAACGGCATTAATTAAAAGACCGCGCGGGCGTATGAGTGACATTAGTGGCGGAACAAATAAAACATTGAACGCACCCAACACGCGCGGAAAGCCTAGTTTTCTATATTGTGCGAATAAGCGATAGCGTATACAAAAATCGACCAGCGCGGGCAGCTCCTCCAACTTCGAGCCGGAGCATTTTATGCGTTCTGTGGAAGTTTTCGCTATTTCGGTTGTTTACGATCGTTTAAAATGCTTTTATGGAGCCAATAAACGCTGAAAATGCAGTAAACTCTATTAAAGCTGCACACATGTACATGCATTCGTGTGCCCGACTACACGCACAYACATTTTCCCGCGCAATCGATGCAGCACTGCTTGCTTATGTCTTTCGAAAGTTTCTTCAAAAAAGTGAGTTGTGCGCCTSCAAATCTCTCTGCTTTTGATAAACGCAAATAAACCGATGTGCAACTACAACAGACACATGCACTTGTAGGCATTCAAAACTCGCTGCAAGCATTCATTTTCGCGGATAAGCACATAAAATCGATTTTATGCACGTTAAGCCGTTACTTCTTGTTGGAATTTCCATGCTTTGCATTCGCCGGATTTCGGCGCACTCAAGTTTTTACGATTTTAGCGCATATTTCACTTTGGGTGCATGGCTCACTTGGCGTATGAGTGACACGGTTTCTGCTCTGCAAGTGTTCGTGCAAGCCACACATATCTTTACTTGCATTAGTGAATGTTCAGTTATGATCAACAGAAAATGTTTAATTGAAGAGTCGTGACTAGCGTGTGTTGAGGGCGCTGTCCCGTTCTATTTCTATGTTTTCTTCTAATAATTTAAAATTGAAAAGTTGACGAATGTTAAAAGCAAAAAAAAAATGCAGGAACATAATCTTTTTCTGGTTATCAGAAGCAAGAATCAATAATTGTCTATTAGAACGGCACTAAACTTCAGACAGAAATAATAGATCYTTCAGCTTAGAAGTCCACTTGTGTCAAGAGAATATTTCATGATAGATAAAAAACTGGGATTGATTTAATATTTTGATATTGGCTCCTCAGAACATATTTATAGCAAAGCGCTCAAAGGGAATTTCGAATGACTATCCAATGAAGAGTTCATTAATTTTCAAATATAATAATGAATATAAGTCTGGAAGAAAAATTTCAGCATTTAATATTGATTTAATTAATTCGTCACCAATAGTTTCTCTAAAAAATTCAATATCAAATTTGGTTTTTTGCAGATTTCTTCCTAATGTCTGTGCATGTTCACAAACATTTAATAACGAACTTTAGAGTTCCTTGCAAGTATTTTAAGCATTTACAATTTTTCCCAGAACTCGTGCTCAACTCACAGACTGCATGTCGTCGTTATGTTCTTTCAAATTATGTGTCTATATTTTTTGTGTGCAAAGAATAGGTACAGAAAAAGCGTGTAAAAAATAATAAACAAACCGTTCGCATCAAAGCCAGAGCTCATTTGTTAAAATAAATAAATAAACTCATAAACGTGTTAAAATATATGAGGTTACTGTGCAGGCGCGGGCAGGTGCCCAAAAAACAGGTTCTCAGTCATTTCAAGTTGATTTTTTTTAGAATATTTTGTATCCAAGCACAAAAACAAATTCAATTTATAGAATTAGCAACTCAAGAAAAAGGCAAAAGTCGTTAAAATCGCTACAGAAAAGCTTTCAATTATAAAAGYACACAAAAACAAAATATTTAAAAAGAATTGCTTCGTATAATCAAATTGAAATATATTAACTAAAAGCAACAACAATGAGGAGTTAACCAAACACTACAAACCGTTAGTAAAGAAGAATTAAGGTCGCTCAAGGCAGTTTAGTACAACTCAACACTTGAATACTTATGTACATACAGGCATAAGYATGTGGATCGGCTCGGCTGCATGCCAGTTCTCGCACTAGCTGCCCGATAGTGCGCAACTCGGCTTTGTGTTGACTCTGCTGGGGCATTGCCGCTGACTAGTTGATTGTATGTAACATGAGCCTTCGCGTGCGAAGTTCGTGCAAACCAGTTGTGCCTGTGGAATGTTCCATAAATTCCAATCAAAATTTCAAATTTAGTCCGATTCTTTTTTTGGCTGCTCATCTTCATTATCTAGTTAAGTAGTCTATAAGCAGCCGGTAAATTATTTTTATGAATATTTTTGGTGATCAACACAGTGGGCCGGAAGGCGGCTATATTTAAAATATTATTATAAGTCTTAAAAAATAAATTGTTGGCTGTAATATGACTTTTTAAGTAAACTAGTTTGGATATTTTTTTGTTATCAAATTACTAAAATTCAGAGTTTTCTTCTTTCTTCTAAACATATAATTTTTAAATTATTTTATTTAAGTGTGAAYCTTTATGTCGTTATGGAATTTATTTCGTTTGACGATCTCTTGATTTGGGGAACAAATTTCACTTAGTCAATTAGATTTGGTTAACTTTGTCCCGTTGTCGTTTGAATGTCTATTCGTGCATACAGATGCGCCATTAATTTTTAATTCGATTAAAAATCGCTTAATTAAAATCGTTAAAAACGAAATACAGTGAAGACCTATCATATTGGCAGGATTAGTAAATTACTAAAACGAAATGAAAGCACAAAATGCACGACACAAAGAATTCTTTAGAGGCAACATTCAAATATTATATGTATGTATGAAAGTTTAAGGAATAGYGCATCGAACTAAACAACTCGACTCAGCATTCCTTGGCGTTTAGTTTGTTTGCGCGTGCGCACCTTCGAAACGTGCTGAGCTCTAGCCAATTAACAATTTGTAGTTGGAAGAATTCACTGGTATGACTTACAAACGAGACTATGTTTTTATAGGCATGCACACTTTTAAGGGCCACAAGCAAGGTAGCACTTTGTAGCGCTCACTTACATACTATATATACATGTGTATTTGTTTTTACTTATAGTCGCTTCGTAACTTTGCTTTCGAGCGACAGGTCGAGATTCGTGTGGGGTTACACGTCGACAAAAGACTTAATTGCGGATGTGCGGGCCCTTATGTGCTCGCCTCCGCTGGGCGCAGAAAGCACGTTCTTACACTTTCAACTGTTTATGCAATAAATATTTATCATTTTCAAATGACAAAGGGAAGTAAAAATTATTACAATTCTAATAAAACGTACCTCGACGCTTAAGTATATGAGTCTACACTAACCTACAAATAAGTTTTATATTGAGAGCGTAAAACGCAGGGTAGAATATTGAATAATTCAAATTAATAAAAATTTATTTTTTCGGAGTGGCGCACACTCGTCATTTGAGGCCTTTCGTGGTACCATTTGCCTCAGACACCARCATATTGTGCAGTTTTTGTGTAAATGCCTTACTTAATTATTTTTGTTGTATATCTCTTTTTCAGCTTGTGATTAAGAAGACTTGCGAGTGGTGGTTTTATAAAAATAAATGCCGCAATATGTCCACGCATTGGAAGCAGAATGCATTTCTCATATGCTGCGTGATACTTTTCGGCCTTTTGCTGGGCTTGATCATTTGGTACCAGCCGGGGAGCAACGGCAGCAGCAGTCGGAAAGGTGCGCACACCATCGCAGGTGTTTCAAACAAATCAAATACGTGGACGAGTAGTACAGCATATCCACCAGTTGTAGACTCGCCAGACATTCAAACGATTTTTATAAATCATTCATTTATTGGCGACGAGCAGTGGACCGAAGATGGTAAGTCAACCTGAAAATCAATAAATCGACTTAACGAATGTAACCACACGCAAGTGGCATCAAATTCATCACAACCTTTGACCAAAGATCTTGGATCGAAATCCAAACTCAGGCAAAATCTAATATTTTATAGGAAGAGTATCAAACAAAAAAAAAAAAAAAAAAAAATACTGATAAACAAAACGTGACATATGACAAGCCGTTTTTTGTTTGAAATAATTTTAAGTTAGTTTTTAATTTTTTATCATTCTTTCGCTCTCGTATTCTTGCAGAGGATATTAAAGACGACATTGGCGATATAAACAACAGCATTCCGGAYGATTTCACCAGTGATTTTGTGACGCCGAGAAAGGTGTACAATTCCAAACTAAGCGAAGATGATTTGCTCTACGAGTCAAATCGCAATAAAAGCAGCGTAACGAATGGTAAGCTAATCTTTCACTAATCAAACAAACCCAGACAAGAAACAATTATTGAATATACTTTGATAAACCAGTGGAAATTGGTTAGATTCCATAGGGAATATAAAAAAAAATATACATATATTGAGAAATTATATAAAAGCAAAATATTTTATGTAATTCAATTTAAATATTAAATAAAGTATACAAATTTTGTTATACTATTTGGGTGCTTTTTTAATTTAATTTATTTCATTTTTTTAAATTATGTTATTTCATTTCTAACTGTTTCATTATTTTTTTTATTTTTTTATTTTATTTAATTATGTTTCAGGTTATTATTCAGCGTTCGATGAAACGGGTACATTTCGTAGTAAATCTAGTCAAATTTGGGATCCACATCCCGAATATATAATAAATGCTTTCGGGCATGAATTGCATTTGGTTTTATATCAGGACACATCATTCATACCACCGCAAACATTTAGTGTAAGGAAAAATATAATAAAAACGAAAATTAGCTTAAGCCAGCAACACAAATACTTTAGAACCTTAAAATGCACGTTCCAGGATCTAAATTGTCACCTAATTTACACTTTAATTTCGTTTGTAGGTAATTCGTATACTTAACAATAGAACCGAGGAAGAAGAAGAGGAAGACGAAGCAAGTGGCCATTACTTGGGTTGCTACTACAAGGGCGTAGTGCAAGGTGACGACCAATCGACGGTGTCCGTGTCGCTCTGCAATGGCATGGTGAGTTATCACYTTCAAAAATAGTTAACTAGAAATCAAGCTTTGCTTTGTACAAACTGAACTAAGCAGAGGATCATAAGCTGCCTGTACAATGAGCTAGAATTCACGTTCCCAGCATAATACTGCCCACACGACACCACCAGAAATTACAAACATAATTGAAAACACATCTTTTTTTATTGCCTACACCGTGCAAAGAAGTGTGGATTTTGCTTTTTGAATTCACTGCCGTCTGTATATGCAAACGCGCCTGCGGCGACGGTCGCTGCGGTATTTACGGTAGCATCCGATCGCCGTAAATTCATTCATTAGACGTATTTGCAATTTGCAATAAATCAGCTTTATGTATTTGCCTTCAACCGTGCTGGCTAAATGTGTTTGAATAAACATGCATATTTATGTACGTATGTATRACTGTGTGTGCCACACCTCTGCACATGCCAACTGATCGACCAGCACATGCCTTAAAGGCAAGAACGCAGTCATAAATAGAAATAATAGACGCCTACACACAAAGACATATATATGTATACATAACTACAATTTAGCTAGTGCCAAGAAGTGTACAATCGAGTATGAGTCTGTGTACTTATCATAATACACACAGACATAACCACTTACAYTAAAGTGTTTAGAATATTTCCTTGTCCCTCCTTAATGAGCGCCATTATTTCCTCCACCCCATCGCCGCTATTACATTAGTAAACTCATTTATTTTCCAAAGTTTATTTCGCATTTTAACTTATTTGCATATTTGCATAATATTTTTTTTTTTTGTTGTTTTTCTGCGCCAGACTGGTTACATTAAAACAAGTTTCGGGTCGCTGCTCATACAACCGGTCAATCAGACCGGTGATGGCGATTCGGAGGTGTTGCACAAAGTGTGGCGTCATTCGCGTCGTAATGCCAGACACGCCGTCGCCGATTCATTCGACATGGATTTGAAAGAACTCGAAGAGAGTCTATTCACGAGGTTGCATCGTAAGAAGCGTAACTATGTCGATCGCCATGTCTTCACGATGGAAGTGCTGGTGGCGGTTGATAAGACGATGAGTGAGTTTCATGGCAGCGATTTGAAGTCATATATATTGACATTGATATCGATTGTTTCGAACATATACGCGGATGCTAGCATTGGCAACTCTATTTATATAACTGTRGCGAATATATTGATATTACGCGACGATCGCAGGAAAGGTGAGTTTTCGTTTGAGATTGTGTGTATGTGTGATAGAGGTAGGATGAATTTAAGGCGYAGTCTGAATACACTCTTTTCGCTTSTTAGCCACGTCGGCGTCTGCTATGCTGAAGGACTTTTGTGGCGTCGTTTCGAAACAAGGGTACCATTACGATACAGCAATGCTCATTACACGGTGAGTTTGAGATAATCAACTATTTACTAGCATATATGATAAATAAATTGCACATACCTTAATATTTCTGCTTTCTTATGAACTCAAAATAGTAACATATAATAAATAGCTATGCTCTCTTTTGCTGCCCTGAATACTTACTAAAAGTATTTTTGTATTTGTTTACGAATATTTCTTTCATAGCGATCAAATTTGCCGCAACGAAGGTGAGCCTTGCGACACTTTGGGTTTGGCTGAACTGGGCACTGTCTGCAAGAGACGATCGTGCGCCATAGTACAAGATAACGGACTGCCAGCCGCATTTACAATTGCTCACGAATTGGGTCACGTGTAAGTCGAACTAAATTGTGAATATTTTTTCGACTTTATTAATCCAAATTTTTTTCTAAAAAAAATTTTTTCGATTGTAACGCAAATCTCTTATTACTAAAATTTCCTTCAATGTAGCTTAAACATGCCACACGATGATGACGACCTCTGTAAACCATTCAACCGACCAGGTACGAAGAGTAAAATGCATATAATGTCGAGTATAATGGGCAGTGACATACATCCGTGGTCGTGGTCTGACTGTTCGCGTAATTATGTCTCTGAATTTTTAGAGTAAGTTATTGGCAATAATTTGGCATAATTTTTAATTACCTCATATTATTTGTTGAGTCTTGACCCTTCTGGCGATCTCAAAATCCGCGGAGATTTCCATCATATTCCTATCATATACATTTTCTTTCAATTATCTTCTACAATACAATACAGAAAAGAAGACAAATCCTGCCTCGAAGACACACCCACGCATTTCATAAAGAATTTCAACACCAAATTGCCYGGCGAGATATACTCACTCAACCATCAATGCCAACTAATACACGGCAACCAGTCGCGCTACTGTCGCATCGACGGCGAATGTAAGCGACTGTGGTGCAAGACGGACAGCAGCAGCAGTGACTGTCGCAGCAGCAATCTGCCATGGGCCGATGGCACACCGTGCAACAACGAGCGCCACTGGTGTCAGAAGGGTGAGTGCGTGCCACGCGAGGGCAAATCGCTGCAAGTGGTTCAAGGCGGTTGGGGTCCCTGGAGTGAATTTACACCCTGCAGCCTGACGTGCGGCGGAGGCGTGCAGGAATCACAGCGTGAATGCAATAATCCTCTGCCGAAAAACGGTGGCAAGTACTGTGCGGGCAGCCGAAAGAAATATCGTTCGTGCAACACACACACATGTCCACCCGGTACTTTAGATTCACGTGAGCAGCAGTGCTACGAAATGAATGGTCGGAATTTCTCTAGCAAAGGCATTGCCCGCTCGGCGAAATGGATACCGAAGTATGGACGTAAGTATGCGGTTGAAAATACATTAATTTATCATATCATTAATTTTGATATTTTAAAGTGGATATSATATTTCGGTTTGAAGTTAAATACCCACTCCAAGGCTTTCAAGCCAAACTACTATGCCATATATTTTTCCCAAAGGGGTATATCGGTTTTATGTAGCTCTCTTACCGCAAATATATTTCCCAGATATTTTAACTAACTCAACAATTGTTTTTATTTTTGATTTTTTGGCTTTTGTAGTGTCCTCGGCCGAGAAATGCAAACTGTTTTGCCGCCTGGAAGACAATAGCGCCTATTTTATGCTCGCGGACAAGGTGAAAGACGGCACCACATGCTCGTTGGATAGCTTCGACAAGTGTGTCAATGGCATTTGCCGGCCGGCAGGTTGTGACAATGAATTGAATTCGCTGGCGAAAATAGGTAATTCRCAAAAATAAACGAAAGCCTAAATAGAAACGCAACAATAAAACCACATGAACTAATAATAATAGAAACTAAAAGCAGAAGAGTAATTGATGTATTTACTTAGTATATAGTATAACGAGCCTTGTGCCACATCAAACCCCTGTCTGTCCACAAATACATCAGAACACATTTTATACAAAAATAAACTGAGAATTGCGCGCAGAACCGCAACAGCTGGACCTTCAACGGCAAAACATAGCACTGATGGACAGTCAAGGTGATGTGGCACACATCACAGGTTCCTGAACGCAAAAATAGCGCAAAATGAGTCAATCATCTTTCGCTCGCTAACGTGCGGGTCGATAAAATTTCTTTTTATGAAACATTAAAACCTAATAATCACAGGCAATAATTTATCAAAAGCACACGATGAGTTTTTAACTAAAAAAATTCCAATGTATTTATCATGTTTGCCTTTTTATTAAATCACAATATTTCTAATTTCTTTACAGATAGATGTGGCGTTTGTGAGGGTCACAACGAAACCTGCCAAGAATACACCGGCAACTTCTACGTCTCCGATTTGTATAAGACCAAGTCCGAGTTATATTATTATTATGTGACAACCATACCAAAAGGTAATAAATTATGTCATATGATCTTTAACTTTACCAAGGAATGGAAACTGYGTGGTCATTAAAGTCATTTGGCATGTTAAGATGTCAAATAAATTTATTTCACCTGTGCTCTCCTCACATGAGTCATATCATACATATGAAAGCAACGAAAAAATTGTTTTTAATATTTTATATAAAGATAAATATACATTTTTAGTTGCAGCACGGTATTTAACAAACGATTTGGATCACAACTGATGATTAATCTTTTAATTTGTTTAAAAATTACAGTTCTTTATAAAAATATTCCTTCGAAATAATTTTCAGAATATTTTTTTTAATGATGTTTAACTAATGACAAGTCATATTATAAAAGTTTTATTAATAAGAAGCATACAATTTTTCATACTAAAACCCCTTCGTCAGCTCTGGTCGTACACTCATTCTTCGCCCCCATGGGCCTTGTACATTAAGCTATGCACTATCTKTCAATCAGCGCTTTTTTCTTAGTTACACATGCTGTAATTGTTTTTGTTGCTAAAGTTATTGTAATTATTATGTGGCGCCGTTTAATAGGCGGAAATATAAAATGAACTTAAATGTGTCCATAATATAAGTAATCAAACTTATTACGAAAGTATGCAAAATAGGTATGCACGTATTCAAAACACACTAAATTTTACAATATTTCAGGGGAAAAATAATAATAAATATGCATAATATGTACACATTTATACCCTAAACAACGAAGTTTGTAATAACCAGAAGCAATGGTGTTGGGGACTYTATCAAATATAGATATAAATGTATATGACCAGCAAAATGAGCTGAGGTGATTTAGTCATGTCCGTCTATCTGTCAGTATATACGCGAACTAGCGTATTTTTTGTTTAGATGTGGATGTGAAATTTTGCACAATTATCAAAGTTGCTGATTTGTCAAACCTGCCGATATCGGACCACGATAGCATTAAGCCGCCATATTAACTGAATCGTAAGCAAGTGTTTGTATGAAAATGGCATATAGCTGCCATACAAACTCTGCAATCGGAATGAAGTTCTTGTACGGAACATTTTGTTTTTGTGAAGGAGATTATAGCTTCGATGCAGCCGGAGTTAACTTTTTCTCTTGTTTTTTTAACACACTGGAGGCGTTTCTTATTTTAGTGGCGTAGTTTTCAAGAATATCCGCATTCTAGTCAATGAGCGGCAGTTAGACACAATAGGCGTTTACAGGATTTATATACATATATTATAGACACTTCTGTGCTTGCCCATTAAGTTGTTGTATTTGTGGAACCCTAATGATTTCTTAGAATTTTGGTAATTCGCGCCATGAAAGCGATTCCCTTTAAAAAATTGAATCAAATGTCGCAAATTGTCTCACTGATAAGTTTGACACCTCTGAAAATCAGCATATAAATTATTTCCAAGTATTTACTTAGAAGCTTTATTACATGCAAACGCATGACAGCTTTTGTGTGATGCAAAAATGGGCCATCAGAAAGTTCAAGTTCAAGGTTATAGTGTTATCACACAGTCACGCACGGCGGCAACTGTCTGTCTGCCCAGCGCGCCAAAGTATAAGGCGATTAAACAAGCAATAAATGTTTTTCTACATGTATGGACATAGACATCGATATAAGTWTGTGCATGTGTATGTATATAGTATATTTCTATATCTGTATGATTTATTCGTGCATTCACCTCAATATGTGTAGCTATGTGTGTACGCATGCATGTGTAAGTGCATTATGCATCCACTTGATTATTCAATGGCAATTAGAATGCTGATAAAGCCCAAATCACACACACATATGTACTTACATATGTAAATATGTATAGTACATCGTGCCGACTGCAGCAATCAATGCGATGCATACAAATTGCTTATCATCGCATTTAAGACCTGAGCATATTCATACACAATACAAGAACACATGAATCACACATACTCACACGCCACTGTGCATGCTCGTACAACAAACAATGTGACATTAGGATATACGTGCTCAGTAAGTAATAAACA